GGATGCAGCCCGCGCTCCAAGAGCTGCTCGCAAGGCCGGGCGCGCTCCAGGACAACAGCGTGGATCCAGCATTGCACGCAGCGGTAGCAGAGGCACATAGGCACACCTTTTTCATGACACAGGGCTGCCCGCTCACAGCGGAAAGTCGTCGAGGCACGCGCCCTGGTAATGGCCTAGCGGACCTGGTATACAACCTGGGCTTTGCCACGCTGCTGAGAGACCTACACAAGGACCTGGCCGCCCACAACTACACGCTCACACTGAAGCCGGACCCTGCTCCTGTACTGGCTTCTGGCGCTGCAGAACAAGCCGAAGTTACGGATGTTTCCTTCGTGGATGATGCTACGACGCCCTGCGCGGTGGACAGCTGCGACAATCTAGAAGACGCCATCAGGGGCATAGTCAGCATCCTGTTCAAGCACATCTGCATCTTTGGTTTCACTCTTAACCTGGCCAAGACCAAGATATTGATAGGCTTCTTTGGCCCGCGTGCCAGAAAAGCAAGGGCCCGCCTGCTTACCAGTCACCCGGCTTACCTATGGCACGATGGCCTGGACCATCAGCTGCAGATTGTGGAGACGGCGGTCAACCTGGGCACGGTTGTGGATACTAAAGGATGTGAGGGACCCAACATGGCCCGCAGGTGCAAGGGGCACTCGGCAGCAGCGGGCCCTTTGAGGATCACGGTCAACCAAATCCAGGATGTGGACAGACAGGTTAAGCTCACGCTCACCAGCGCCCTCTGCGATAGTACTCTCACTTTCAATGCAGAAATATGGGGTGCGCTGGGTACCAGGCTGGACTCGCAAGTCGCTGCCAAGTATGTCAACGCCTACCGCGCTGCGGTGGGCAAGCAGCACATACCTGATGGACCTCGCTGGCGAGATGAGGAGGTTCTTTTAGACGCAGACAAGTCCTCCTGGCAGATCATCCTCCGCACAAGGCGCCTGCGGCATCTTATGCGACTATTGTTCTTTGGTGACCAGCAGCTACTGCGCCTCGTTGATCTACTCTGGGAGGAGAAAGGCAGCTGGAATGTCCTGATCTGGGAAGATCTGATTTGGCTTGGTGAGTTTGTCTCTACTGATGAGATTCCACTGGAGCAGCGTCAGGACATACGCACCTGGACTCACGCCTTCAGAGTTTGGGAGTATGCCAAGGCCATGAACCTGATCAAGAGAGTGGAACGCAGAGCACATGCATCTCAGATGGAGTATTTCAGGCATGGCGTTTGGCAGAGACAACTCAGATCTTTGGCCCAGGAGGCGGGGCTGCCACCCCCGCCCTTCGTGGAGGCAGATCGACCCGAACGAGGACAAGGTTTCATCTGCTATGATTGTGGCAAAATACTGGCAACACGGGGCATGTGGAAGAGGCACCGCACAGTCGTGCATGCACAGCGTGATGACGACCGATATATATTAGAGGGACGCTTTGCTCGAACTGTGGCAAGGACTTCCACACCCGTGCTGGACTTCTTCGACATCTCAAGTACAGAAGCCTCAGATGTATGGAGCATTGTCGTGCCACAGTTGTTCCATTAAATGACGAAGAGTTGGCAGCAGCTGATGTCGAGATGGCAGAAGATACCAGAAAGCTCAAAAGTTGTGGTTTCAGGGCGGCTAAGGCCATGATGCCGCCGAAGGACCCAGACCCATATTGGATTACGACGATACCGACCTGGGCCAGCCCTCTCGAGCCAGCTTGCCCGCCAGCAGCACCAGCTGACGAGGACTGCCTTGATCACCAGCAGACAGTGTACCCCTCGACAGTGGACAGACCGACTATGTGGCACTGTAACCTGGTACTCCACCTCTTCAGTGGCCACAGGAGACCCAATGACATCCAGGATCACCTGGAGAAGCTAGCAGCAGAATGGTCAGTCCCCTTGATGGTGCTCTCCCTGGACGTGCAGAACAATGCGGACAGAGGGGACATGACCAAGAATGACAACCTCACGTTCTGGAAGGCAGCCATGCTGGCAGGGCATGTGTGCGCGGTGGTAGGAGGACCTCCCTGCGAGACCTGGTGCCCAGCCAGATGGTTGGATGATGGCAGAGGGGGCAGACAGCCGAGACCCCTCAGGACGAGGAGCAGGCCTTGGGGCATCGGCAGCGTGTCCCAGAAGGAGAGGCAGCAGATCGACCTGGGCAACGCGCTGCTCCGCTCCTGCCTTTTGCTGCTCCTGATCGGCCGCCCGCTGGGCATCACAGGGCTGATGGAGCATCCAGCCCCAGCACCCTGGAGGCCACAGAGCATCTCCTCCTGGGAGACACCCGAGATCTCATGGGCGCTCGAGCTCCCTGGGGTGGACTACGTGCAGGTGGACCAGTGCGCGTACGGCGCGCAGGCGAGGAAGCCGACGGGGCTCCTGGCGGTGAACGCCCCCGAGCTCCGCCTCGCCGTGGACGCGGACCCCCTGGGCGGCCGCTGCCGGCATGAGGGGGGCCACCCAGCGGCAGCGGGCCGTGATGAGCACGGCCGCTGGCGCACTGCTGAGCTGAAAAGCTATCCGTCGGCCTTTTCGCTTTTGCTCGCCAAGGTGCTCCTTGGGCACCAAGTGTCGAGGCTCAGCTGGGCCTGGGATCCCTGGGGAAGTGACCTGGGGACCTCGGCTTTCCAGGATTTCTTTGTCCCTCTCGACCCATATTTCAATTTCCAGGCGGGTCACGACGGCTACCGTCAAGTCTAGTGCTCGTTGTCCCCAGTCGACACGACGTCGACGCTGTCCTAGAGTCGCCAGCAGTGCACGCCCACTCCCTCCTCCTCGGCACAAGGTTTTCATCTATCCTCGCCCCTTCCTCCTCGACCTCGAATCGAGTGGGATGAGTCGGTGCCCGAGCACGTCGGGCCACGTCGACAACTTCGTGGCCCTGGCCGAGCTGGAGGTCTTGAACGGTGTAGGCCTTTGCAAAATCCCAGGCAAAATCCCAGGAGGAGGAGGAGGAGGAGGAGGAGGAGGAGGAGGAGGAGGAGGAGACGGATCGGCACAGCGGCAGAGCAGCAAGGTGGGGGGGAGTGGAAGGAGGAGCGTTGATTGGGCGGGGGGGAGGAGAAGGATGAGCGGCAGGAGGACGCAGCTGTGATGATGAGAGGGGGAGGACAAGAAGAGCACGAGGAGCAGGGGAAACCGAGGAGGAAGAGGAGCAGGGAGAATGGAGGATTTCAAGCAGGAAGGAGGATCGACGTCCGAGGATCGACTATCGAGGAGCTAGCGCGCTTTGGTTAGGTTCTGGCTTCTGGAAGCCACAGGGAGTGGGATCAGGCCAGGCCCCGCGCGCCAACTGGTTCGTGGCGCCTTTCACTCGCGAAGGAGAGAGAGAGAGAGAGAGAGAGAACCAGGAGGAAAACACAAAGAAGAGCGAGGACGAGGGTTTCTTTTTGAAGCTCGGGAGGTGGCTTCGCCATGCCTCCTGGTAAAGCGGAGTTGCCCCGGACCGGAGCTATCGCGCATAATTCGGGCGTCCACACCCCTCCCAACTCATCGCGGCTCGGGGGGGCGGTCAGGGGTGACTCCTGGTTCGTGCCTCGAGGGCCCAAAGCAGAGAAGCCCCGGACCGGAGTTATCCCGCAGAATCCGGGCGTCCAAGGTTTTGAGATGCGCGAGTCCGCCTCCGGGCGGGCTGTGCTAAGGCTCGGGCATCTATCGACCCCGACCTGTCCAGCTCGCTGCATGCCGTCGCGGTAGCGAGATGGTCTCGTGGTGAGCTGTTCCTTCAGATTTGGCTTGTGCTTTGCGGAGCAGCAGGCAGGGCCAGCGATGATTCGATTCGGCGCGGTTCGATCCGCCGCTCGGGGCCGCGATTCCGGGGCATCGGCTGGAGCCAGCCGTAGTTCGCTGGCGATCCGATCCGCTTTTGGTCCAGTCCGATTTCGCGACTCGATCCTGCTCAGGCCTGGCAGGCTCAAAGATCGAAATGTTTCAGACCGGTATTGTTTTGCTAGCGGTCTGCGGGAGGCCTTTTTGTAGCCGCGGCTGGATTCCCCTTGGAATTCTGGCCAGAGCCCCAGAACACACCCCATCACCACCTACCAAACCACCCCAACCCAACCCGAAGGCCTCAATTTGCCCTCCATTTCCAGTGGGGAGGGGTCGGGGAACGTTGAAAAGTCACATGGAGCCCGTACCCCCCCCCAACCCGAAATTCGGGTCAAATTCGCGTCTTCGGGTTGGGTTGGGGTGGTCTGGTAGGTAGTCACCCCAGGATAGGGTCGGCATGGCATGACTGAGCCGCGCTTCCGAAAAGACGCATGGGCAGAAGATTGCACGATTGGCAGCTCTTTGTGGCAATGCAAGGAACACCTTGTTCAGTGATTGCGTGCACAGAGTCTCGACTGTGAAGCAGAAAACCAGAGCCCATCACGACTGCGAAGCAGGAAACAAGAGAGCGGGGGGGCAAATCTTTGACCCCAGAATCATGCCGCCCCATCGCGTCGTGGCAGCAACAAGTGAAACGGCGTGGTGGTTGTCGGCTATCTCGGACCCGGGGCCCTCACCCGGCCTTCTGACCGCCAACAGCAATCCGGGATGCAAGACCCTGTCTGGAGACGGGGTTCGAGACCTCTGGAGGTCTACGTTGTGAACAGACACGGGGTCGGGGGCATGTGGCTTCGTAGATTGGGGCTCGAGCGCGCTGTCGCCTTGTGGCGCCTTGTGGCGGCAGCGCAGTTTGTTGGGGGCGATTGATTCGGTTCCGAGTTCCAGCGGCCCCGTTGGTGAGCAGACGTCGGAAAGTGGTATCGGAGGAACCAGTTACAATGCGGCCTAACGGGTGCGGAGAAGAAGGTAGAGGAGTAGCAGGAGGAGGAGGAGGAGGAGAAGGAGAAGGAAGAGGACGACGACAAGAACGTCCTCCTGCCCCTCTTCCATCTCGGCCTTCTTCTTTCTCATCATCCTCAGGTTCATCCTCGTCCTTCTCCCCCGATTCCGCCTCATTCTCGTCCCTCTCCGTCCTCCACTTCCTGCTCGTTCTCTTCCTTGTCGCCATCCTCCTCTAAAGGATGGCCAAATCCGCTCCCTAAACGTGCACGTGTCGGGGTCGCTGGTCATCTGGGAGTACACCCGGCAGATGAGGCAACGCAAGTCAGGTCGAGCGTTGCGGGTTGTTTCTTTGCAATCCAAGCCCTTGATCTCTCCCTCCTCGTCCTGAGTATGTTCTCTCCTCCTCCTCTTCTTCCTCCTCCTCCTCTTCCTCCTCCTCTTCTTCCTCCTCCTCTTACTCCTCCTCTTACTCCTCCTCCTCCTCCTCCTCCTCCTCCTCCTCCTCCTCCTCCTCCTCCTCCTCCTCCTCCTCCTCCTCCTCTCTCCAACTCCCCTCCTCCGTCTCCTTCTCGCTCCCCCTTTGCGCTTCTCCTGCACCCCCCCTCCTCACTGCGCGGAAGCCGCCCGGTCCCGAGGAGCCACAGGCCCCCTGCCCCGCCCCCCATTCCCTCCAATCGGGCGAAAGGAAAATCTGGGCCCGTGGCGTAGGCGCCCTCGTTGCCAACGCGACGTGCCACGCTCGCGGCCCGCCTAGACCACCGCGCAAGGCCGCTATGTTGAAGCCTCCCAGCCAGGGTCCGAGCAGAGGGGGTCGGAGGATGCATCCCCGACGCATGCCCAGATGTACCCCTATGCATCGGCGATGCATCCGCGACGTCGGCGATGCACTGGCGCCGCCGGCGTGGAGGAAGTCGCGCTCCACATCGAGCCGCATCGCTGCTGCGGCGCGATGCCCCGACCCCGCCCCGCCCCGCCCGAGAGGCCTCGAGACACGCCACCTCGCGCACTGCCCGCTTTTGCTTCCTCGCCCCACTGGGGCGAGAGGCGGCACGGCGCTGGCCCGCACGCGGCGGCCCTGGCCCTCGGCGGGCCCTCCACGGAGCCTCGGCCCCCCTCGGCGGCCCTCGGCGGCCCTCGGCGGCCCCTCGGCGGCCCCCTGCGGCGGCCCCCCTCGGCGGCCCCCCTCGGCGGCCCCTCGGCGGCGCCTCGGCCGCGCCTCGGCGGAGGGGGGCGGTCGGCAGGCGGCCTTGCTCGGCAGGCCGCGCACCGGAGGGCGCTCCTGCCTAGGGGTGCCGCTCTTGCGCGTGGCCGCGTCAAGCGATGAGTGGCAGCGTTCGGTGGGGGGGAGACGCTCAGGTATCGAGACCCCCGATCGCCCAGTGATCGCCGCCAGGGGCCCGATGGCCCACCCCTCCCCGCAGCGTGCGGATTCGCCGTCGGGGGCTCTGTCGCCGATCCATCGGCGACGTATGGCCTTCATTGGGCTGGGTCGATGTTTCTCTCCCCCCCCCGAGCTGGTCCTCCCATATATGGTTGCCCGTCAATTGCACTGGCGCAGACCCCGAGATCGGGGCGTTGCGATTTTTGTCGCACCGCGCGTTTTCGCCCGGTTGCGTGCTCTGGGGCCCTCACAGATCGGGGCTCACGTAACGGGGGGGCAGCGCTAACGGGGGTAGTCGATCCCCTTTGCCTCACCAGTGTTTAGGAGCCACGTGGGGCCGATGCCCTTTTTCTGCCCTCCGCTGACCTGGATCTGGGAGCTACTGAGCAGCTGGTCTCGCTTCGCGACAGGGGCCTGGCCGACCCAGGATTGTGCTGACTCGGGGTGGTGCGTCGCCGAAGAGGTCGATGCGGCTCGAGGAATGAGAGGTGGGGTGGACGGACGGGTCGAGGACGAGGATAAATTCGTTCCAGAGCGTTCTGGAACGCTCTCAGAGAGTTTCGGAACGCTATGAGAAGGCCGCGGCGCCCGAGACATCCTCCAAAGCCGCCGGGTCTCAGAGGTTCTCGGTTTATCCTCACCTGGATTTGCCCTCGTCCTGGCTTCGTCTTAGGTCAACAGGGCTCCGGCGGTGGTTTCTTGCGCGATGCTGCATTTTTTGCCCGCATCGGATCTCAGGGGAGCCTCGGCCGAGGCCGGCGCGGAGGGCCAGGCGGTGACGCGAAAGGGGCGGCCTTGCAAGAGGAATCTCCAGGAATAGGCAAACGCTAGTCTGGTGAGGATTTTTCGCGCAGGCCAGCTGCCTTCTCAAAAGCCCCTTCGCCTCTTCAGTAATAGCGCAGCCCCCTCGCGCCACCCCCTGGTGCGCGGCGCCAGGCAGGGGTGCTCGCAGTTCGGTCGCTTCGGCTGCGTCGTTGTCGACTACTTTCGAGCGGACCAGTTCGATGCGGCTGCTGCGGCACTGCTGCAGCGTTCCCCCCCCCTGGGCCGCTTGCGGCAGAGTCGGTTCCGGTCCCGCTGTCGGCTCGGTCGGTTTCGGCGCTGCGCTGCCGCCGTGGACGGCCCTGACTCTGAGCTCCGGGGTGCCAGCCTGAAGCACAGAAGCATCCCCCGATCCCTATGATTGGCATCACCTCCTCTCGATGCCGACCTCAGGGATCCGCTCAGCTTCTGAGGGCGCATCCCTAAGATTGGCACTGCACCTTGGCTTGTCAATCCTACGGTGTAGAGATCTGTCGCCGCGCCGTGTTCTTTTCCCCGACGCGCGGCCGTGGGCCTTGGAGAGGGCGCCTGGTCTACCAGGGCACACTCTGCTTCGGACGCAAGGTTCGCCTGTTGGTTTGCCATGGGGTCGGCGTCGTCCCATTGGTCGCGTCGAGCGCGGCGACGCGTGCTCGAGCCTGGTCAGGGTACAGCGCAACGGGTCGGGCCGCCCTCGCCGACGGGCCCGCAGCCGAGCCCCGCCGCGGACGGGCGCCCCGCGCGCTGCGCGGGTGGTCGGGGGCCAAAGGCACGCTTGGCATGGCGACGAGACCTACGCTGTAAGAACGGTGTTTGTGAAGACCGGCATGCCTGCAAAAAAATGCTTTGTTTTTGTAAGAACAGTTTTTGTTGAAGGCAAATCTGCCTTCAAAAAATTGGTCTACTCTGTAAATTCCGTTTCTTACAGTTCTTGCAGAGTCGCCGCGCCGTCTCTTCCGACGCGCGGCCTTGCGTCTTGGGGAGGGCGCCTTGGCCGCTCGGCGCTAGGGCAAACGCCGCGTCGGAACCGGTGGGTTCGCCGTGGGGTTTGCCACGGCGCCGGCTGCGTCTCTTTGGGGCGCGGGACGCAGGGTTGGCCGTGGGTTTGCCGTGGTGCCGGCGTCGTCCATGTGGGCGCGTCGAGAACAATCGGCGCGGCGACATATGTCGGAGGCTGCCAGACGGGTTCGTCAGACAAGGTTGGTGCCGCTAGACCTGAGGCCCTCCCCAACCCGACCTGAGGCCCCCCGGCTCGACCTGAGGCACCCCACCAGCCATCGAAACCACCCTCCTTGAACCAGACTTTCTCGCCGCTCCCGAGCACGATCTGCATCACCCAAGCATGCTCGTGCTATGTGTGCGTTGGCCCCCTGGGGCGGCGCGCGCTCTCAGAAGTCTTGCAATACGTGCTCGGTGGCGCGCGCCCTCTGGCCGTACCGCCGGGGCAACGATGCTGGAACGTGTCGCCGCGCCGTTCCTTCCGACGCGCGGCCTTGCGCCTTGGGGAGTGCGCCGCGGGCACCAGGGCAAACCCCGCTTTGGACCCAGTGGGTTCGCCGTGGGGTTTGCCGCGGCGCCGGCGTCGCCTGCTGTGGCGCGCAGAGTTTGCCGTGGCTTTGCCGTGTTGCCAGCGTCGTCCATTTGGGCGCATCGAAAGCAAATTGCGCGGCGACAGATGTGTGCGCACTATGTATGTTCAGTTCGCACGTTTGCCTCAAAGGGGGCGCATAGTACGTGTATGTTTTTCTGCGTCCCACATGAGGCGTTCCAGAAAGGGCCTCGCCTTCGAGGATCGAAGGAGTTTCCATCTCTTCCTCGGCGCAAGTCGGCGGAAGGCCAGCGGAAGATGTCGGAAGCAACGCGAGGCCATTCCCGCCAGTGGAAGCCGACGCACGTAAAAATCGGCCTCCGGAGAGATAGCACTGTTTGTCGGCTCGCGGTTTCTGGAACTGGCCCCTCCTGAGCCCAGGAGCAGTGTGTACAGTCGGGGCCCTGAAGAAGGAACCCTTCTCGTTGGGGAGGGGCTCCGTGTTTCTTGATTGCTTCACAGTTTGCCTTGGGTTTTCCTTTAGTTTTCGATGGGATATCGAAGTTCAACTTCTGGAGGAAAAGGGCCTCGTTCCTTATTTAGGGTTCCTTAGGTCAACGCCTCGACTGTGTGCCCCCCGGCTTGGTCAGGGAGGCATCTACAGCGCTCCTGCGCCCATCCCCTCGCCCTGCCGAGTGCCGCCGAGCAGGCTGGCACACTGCGGACGGGCGGGCACACCGCGGGCGGGCAAGCGCGTGGCGTCCGGCGTGTGCTGCGGTCTTGGGCGACCGATGGCTTGACTCGAGCCACATGGCAAAACTGCCTCTCCTCCTCCTCCTCCTCCCTCGCCTCCTCATCCTGATCCTCATCCTGATCCTCATCCTCCTTCTCTTCATCCGCCTCCAGGCTCGAGGCTGGCGGCACTGCGTTTCGGTGGCCAACGCTGGCATCCCCCCCCCCAGAGGCCTTCGCCACCACTGGGGGGGAATGATCAAACCAGGTAGCCGCGAAGGGAAGGGCAAGCGCGCGGCACAGAGGAGGGACCCTCCAGGGGTCGAGGTAGCTAGCAGCTAGGTCACCTGGCGACTCCTGGAGGAAATTGCCTCTCCTCCTCCCCCTCGTGCTCCTCCTCCCCCTGCATTGCGCTGGGCAGCGCGACGAGCATCGGCGCCCGTCGGGCCCAGCACCAGGCCTTCGCTTCCAGAAGTGGATCACTGCCCCAGGGGCCTCCACCGCCCCCGTCAGGTCCCTCCAGACGGTCGAGGCGGCGCCAGCCGAGGCGAAGCTGGGCAAAGAGATGCTCGTGCACCCTCGTGACCTCATCGATGAGCGGGTACGCCTGTGGCACGAGTTGTGGGCGCCCGCCGCCGCCGATCTCGATGGCATCGACACGCTCTTCCGCGACCTGCGCGAGCCCATCGGCGTGGAGGAGCTCGAGCCGCTGGAATGTGCGAGCCTCCACAGGACCCGGCGGTCGATGCGTCCGAGGCAGGGTTGGGCGCGGGGTCGACCAGATGGCCCCGCTCGGCCTCGAACGCCTGCCCGCCGAGGCGTTGCAGGAGCTCGTCGACCTCGTGCGGGCTGCGGAGCTGGGTGGTTTGTGGCCCCGACAGGTG